AATGTTATGTTTTCCAGGTGAGGGAGTCTGCTGGGTCCTGCATACAAATGCAACGACTGATGCCAGTGGGTCTGAAGAACCCCACAGGAGCTGACCCACCAAAGAACGCAGCTTGTACACCCTGATGGTTTCACCCTCCTTTCCCGGACCGGTCAACAACCCCAATCTTCTATCCCTCACCCTCCACAATCTCCTTAAAAATCCCAGCTCAGAACTCCTCCGGAAGATGGGTTTGAGGGTCTCCACTCATCTCCTTGCTCCATCCCTGTGATCATTAAACTCTTTCTCTGCTACAGCGCTTGCTGTCTCGGTGTAATTGGTCTGTTACTGTGTAGTGGGCATATGCACCTGTTGGTCCTATAACACCATTTATGGTGCTTTGTTATAGCAGTCTGTACGGACTAAGACACATGGCTTAGAGGTTATAGAACTATGGGGAAGAGGCAGAAGGAAAAATTTGATCAAAACTGCAAAGAAGAGTTGACATGCATGGCCTCTTCAGAAATGGTAAGTGCACAACGTGTTTTGGTGAAAAGTAATATAGTAGGAACTTGCCGGTAAGAACGATTCATCAAAATGCAGAGCTACAGTTTGACTCACACCTAACAGTAATTCTGTTTTCCAGACATGCTGGTGATGCCCGTTTGTGCTTCAGACCCTACAGGTATACATTATTTATCCCATACTTCAGCTTTTATTATTTAAGTATTCAAAGATTTACATTTTAAAGGTACTTAGAACTGTACTTGATTCTTCATAAGTGCTGCATAAGTAAATATAAAGTGAATAAATAACTTCCCACTGTAACCACCAGCTTCCTTGCTATGCTCCTGTTTCTTAGTTCCACTAAACCACTTGCTATTTGGCAATACAGTAGCCTTGAGTTTGAGTTATAGCTCCACTAAAAGATCTTCGTTCAACTAATTAAGGATGTATTTGTTTGAGTTTGGTGATTACTAACTGAGTTAACTATGCAGCAAATTCTTCTGTGATAGAAAATATGCAGGCTGGGCATGGTGGCTCAAGCCTGTAATCCCAGCACTTTGGGAGGCTGAGACGGGCGGATCACGAGGTCAGGAGATCAAGACCATCCTGGCTAACCCGGTGAAACCCTGTCTCTACTAAAAAATACAAAAAACTAGCCGGGCGAGGTGGCGGGCGCCTGTAGTCCCAGCTACTCAGGAGGCTGAGGCAGGAGAATGGCATAAACCCGGGAGGCGGAGCTTGCAGTGAGCTGAGATCCGGCCACTGCACTCCAGCCTGGGTGACAGAACGAGACTCCGTCTCGAAAAAAAAAAGAAAATAAAATATGTATACATTGGAAATAAATTTACTCTGTCCACCAGACTGGAGTGCAGTGGCACAATCTCAGCTCACTGCAACCTCTGCCTCTCAGGCTCAAGCGAATCTCCTGCCTCAGCCTCCCGAGTAGCTGGGATTATAGGCACCCACCACCATGCCTGGCTAATTTTTGTATTTTTAGTAGAGATGGGGTTTCACCATGTTGGCCAGGCTGGTATCAAACTCCTGACCTCAGGTGATCCACCCGCCTCAGCCTCCCAAAAATGCTAGGATTACAGGGGTGAGCCACCGCGCCCAGTCAATAAGAACAATTTGTCTGTCGGTATAACCAAGATTATCTTTTTTATCATATAAAAAATTGTCTTCCTATAATCTGTAAGTGTGTGCATGTATAATTGCATAATAACTATAAAATTTGGATGCCTAAGCATTTAGGTGTACCAAAGAGTTCATAGAATCAACAATCCGTACTCAGTAAGTGTTTCCACTGTTCTTCAAGCAGATTTCCAGATTAACTATGAAGTCCAAAGGAAGACTGTCAGCAGGATGATCATTCTTTCTTGCCCACCAGACACACACTCGCAGCACTCTCCTGCCAGCCCGCATTCCCCTATCTGTTTTCCTCATGCAGAAATTAGGGAAGCATGAATGCACAGGGGTCCACAAAGGTTGACAATCAAAACACACTAGGAAAGGCACCTCAAGGTCTCTACTGAGACAGACAGACATTGACTATGATAAGGTTGTGCAGGTGAGGTGCATGCATTTCATATGTATGCAACATGAGAGATATTTGCAGGAAGTTAAGCTTCACCATAGGAAGTGCTTGTGTGGGTATATTTGTTTGTTTTAAATACTTAAGGATGATCAGAGACTATGGGGCGGGGGGCGGGGAAAGCTGTTCTTCCAAAGAGAAATTCACTCTCATTTTCTTTTCTTTTTTTTTTTTTTTTTGAGTCAGAGTCTTGCTCTGTTGCCCAGGCTGGAGTGCAGTGGCAGGATCTCGGCTCACTGCAAGCTCCGCCTCCCGGGTTCACACCATTCTCCTACCTCAGCCTCCTGAGTAGCTGGGACTATAGGCGCCCGCCACCACACCTGGCTAATTTCTTATATTTTTAGTAGAGACGGGGTTTCACCGTGTTAATCAGGATGGTCTCGATCTCCTGACCTTGTGATCCGCCTGCCTCGGCCTCCCAAAGTGCTGGGATTACAGGCGTGAGCCACCGCGCCCGGCCTCACTCTCATTTTCTAAGGAATTCTTCCCCTTTCCTCTGCTTCCCTGCAGTGGAAACCTGGGGTGAGATCAAAGCTGCAACTCCAGTCCATACCAAAGCCCAGGAATACTCCCAGGACTCTGGAGATGCCTGAGGACCAGGGCTTGTGGTGTGCAGGAAGGAGGGTCCTACAGGCACCGTGAGGAACAGCAATCGGCTGTAGTAAAACACAGGCTGACAAAGGCAGGAAGGCAAAAGAAGGCACCCAGGTCGGCCCAGGGGAGATGAGAGGCCCAGTTCTTCCCAAGCAGGTGTGGTGTCCCACAAAAGCCCCCAGGGGTCTGTTGTGGGCACCACCGTGTCTGAAAGTGTGTGTGTGGTTGGGGGGTGGTTGTCAAGGCAAGGCCATGAGGTTCATTTCCCTGCAGCAGTAGGAACAAGGGGCTGGCACTGGGAAGCCTCGTCCTCGTTGCAGCAGGCAGGTGGGTGGGAGGTTGGATGAACAGCAGTTGAGAGTTGAGCCTGCAGAGTGAAGTCTGTGGAGGGAACAGAGGCGCATGGATGGAGACATGCACACAGCCCACCAGAGACCGGGAACCCCCTCACCCACACGATCCTCTCGTTTATCCAGAAAGGCGAACATCAGGTTTGAGGAGGAATGGAACCTAACACGAATCTTTTCCCTAAATGTGGAGCTGATGTGAACCAGTTGTCTCTGATCTCCAGTTCCTGTTCCTCACACAGAGCGCACCTACTGACCTGGCAGTGGCCTGTGGTGGGACAATTCCTTGCATGCCCAAGCCCAGTTGTGCAGGTCAAGATGAGACCCACTTCTCAGGCTTAGGCTCCCTGCAAATGAAGCAGAACTTACCGCCATACTTCCCAGTGATCCTAGCAGGCGTCACTGGGGTCTCCACTCTTGCCAGTTAACCCAGTTAACACATTAGGGACTGTCATGTCTCCCCAGGGACAATCTCACAAAGGAGGAAGAGACTGTAGACAGATAAAAGCAGCAGTAGATAAAGCAGATGTGCTCTTGCAGGTGCATATTCATGAGAACAGACCCAAATAAACTCAGATGGTCTCACTCCCATTGAGGCTACATAGAAAGCATGACAAAGATATACATGATTTTCAAGGCCACTTTTCAAGTATTGAATAAATGTATCACACAGTGATTAAAAAGTGCAATCTCTAATCCTGAGTTTCAGATGCCCAAAAGACGTCTAATAGTATAATGAGAACATTTCCTCCAGGGCTCAAAGTACCCTACCTATCAGGTATAGGCCAGACACGAGGCCCCAGGGGTCTGGAGCAGGCAGGAGGTGAAAAACAGGACACACTGTGGAGCAAAGAATATGAACGGGAGGCCGAGGCGGGCGGATCACAAGGTCAGGAGTTCAGGACCAGCCTGGCCAATATGGTGAAACCCAGTCTCTAATAAAGATACAAAAATTAGCTGGGCATGGTGGCACACACCTGCAGTCCCAGCTACTCGGTAGGCTGAGGCAGGAGAATCGCTTGAACCCAGGAGGGGGAGGTTGCAGTGAGACGAGATTGTGCCACTGCACTCCAGCCTGAGCGACAGAGTGAGACTCCGTTTTAAAAAAAAAGAGTATGTACGGAGGACATGAGTGATATCAGAAGAGGCTGCTGAACACTGGACTCCAGCCTGGCATGAAGTGCCCAGCCCTGCTCTCCACCCAAAGGAGCTGGACCTCAGATCACCCCAAACCACTCCTGGCTTATGGTGGAGCACACATGTTCCAAAACTTAGGAGAGTGAGGACTGTATTTGGGGCAGAGAAAGAAAAAATGGATCAGGACAACATATGAAAGATCTAAAGAGAATAAGTAAAGGCTTAATTATTGTTTTGAAAATAATGAAGTGTTTGAGGTTTTGTTACAGCAAGCTCCATAAGTTGGTAACTCACAATTATGTTCCTAACATAAAAATGTCATTTGGAGGTTTAATTATTTGTTTTTATTATATTTTTTAGTTTTATGAATTTAAAAGTTCTATTCTGGGGTGACGAAAGTAGAAAACATAGGGTGTGGGAAAATTACGAAAACAGGAGATTCTAAAATAATCCTTAGGAAACCACCTAGATTGCTAAGAGAATTTCAGAGTTTCAAAGGCTATGAAATGGGTGGGCTCAGGCCTGGATCTCCAAGGTATAAGGAGAGCGAGGTGACACCTGTGTTCCAGAACAGAATGGAAAATGGACCCAGGGCTGTCTCTGACAGGTGAGCAGCTGGAGTGGGAAGGAGGGATCCAGGGGACCCAGGAGGGTGGAGGGCCCCAGGGCTGGGAGCTGAGGGCAGGGCTGTGCTTCAGCCTCCTCCTCCCACTGCCCCTCCCCTGCCCCCAGGAGCCCTTTGTGAGGAAGAGGCCCCAGCTCTGTGATGCAGGCCTGGGCCCCATTCCCTAGACCCAAAGGGGATGCCCAGCCCTCAGTTGCTTGAAGGCGACATTGCACTTCAGATGGAGAAAATGCTCTTTTCTCTGAAGAGCCCTAGTGCCACATGGCTGAGCCCCAGCTCCACTCCCTGGATGATGGATTTGATCCTCACCAGTGTGTGTGGCCTGGTGCTCCTCTACCTGTTACTCTCCTACCTCCACAGTGACCCGCCCTCACCCCCGCCCGGGAGGAAGAGGAGCAGCAGGGAGGTAAGGAGCCCTCAGCCCAGCCCCACAGAGAAAGATTCTCTCTTCTTTTCCTCCCCTCATTCCCACTTTTCCCAAACAACGAGAGACGCTCCCACGATGGGAAATCTCGTCATCCCTCTAGGGCAGGGCAGGGCAGGGCAGGGCAGGGCAGGCAGGGGTGAGAGTGGCCGGAGGATTCCACCCCCAGCTCCCAGACCATCTGTGGGGTGCGCAGGGGGCGTCAGGGCAAAAACCAACACCAGACTCAGTGGCGACGACCGGGTCAGGAGAGGAGTGAGGTCTCTGTGGGAGGAGAGGCCCCAGCCCTGCCTCATCACCCCATTCCTGGGCCAGGTGCCTGGGGGCCCAGCCTCCTCTGTGTGATCTGGGTGTGATCTGGGAGCTGTGCTGAGCCCCCGAGAGCCTCCCACAAGAGCCTGCATTCGCCTGTGGCTGCACCCCGGCCACAGGTGCTTTTTCCTCCTTCACCACAACCCCATGGTCCCTGGCCTCCTCTCCATTCTCTTCCGAAGCAGAATCCTACCGGCAGCTCAGAGGCGCCTGCAGACCTGAGCCTGGGTGTGCCTTCAGGGCAGGAGCAGGGACTGGGAACAGCCAGGGTGCAGCCACACAGAAAACCCCTCCTTGCATTTTCCTAAGAAGGAAAACGGAAAACATTTCATTCACGATAAACATGAGTAAAAAGCGCACACAGAGCTCCCTGAGCTAGAGGCAGGGAGCCGTGTCCTTCATGAGCACTGCATGTGTGCAGCTGGTCTGGGGAGAGGAGACTGAGAACTGGTCCCAGCCCCTCATCCTTTCTTGCCTCTCAGCCTCAAAGGGAGAGAAGGGGGAGGTCCAGGAGCAGAAAGAAGATCTCAGCTCTGAAAGGTGAGGCTCTGCTGCTCCCCGGGACTCCCCAGAGGTGACAGCATCGCCTGTCCCCGAGAAAGTCATTTGCAGAGGCCTGAGAGGGAAACTCCTGGGAGGGAAATCGGAACCTGGGGCCTCCTCAGATTCCCTGTGGGAATGAAGCCGGGGGCCTGGGACCGGTATTGCTCATAAGGGGGCGGTGTGGGGAAGGGACCAAGGCCTGCCGGGATATGGGCGGAGGTCAGGGAGGCTCCAGGTCCATGTGGACAGCTGTGTACCTCGGCCATGGCTGACTCCTCTTTGAGACCACCCGTTTGCTCTCCAAACAAGATGGTTGTGACACCCATGAAGGGGTGGACGTGGAAGCACTTTTTGCAAATGACAAAGTGCTGCACAGTGGACACCTTCCTGTCACCATCAGGGCCATGTGGCCTTGGCCACAGATGTGTGGGCTTCAGGGTCTAGTTCCCTGTGGTGTCCCCTAAAGAGACATCCACTCAGCCTCCGTGAGGTTCCCAGGCACCGCCCGCTCCACCATAACCCTGTCTCCTGACTTCCAGCTTGCAGAAACCTCCTGAGGGAGCTGGAGGAGACTCGGGACCTGAACAACCTTCTGGAAAGGTGAGGAGCTTCCCCCTTCTCTCCATGTCCTCCTTCCTACCAGGGCCTCTGATGCAACCCTAGGGCCTGCTGGTGATCTGGGAGGGAGAGGTCCTGGGAAGAGGAGAGGAGAGGACTGAAGCCCTGGGGCAGGCTTAGGCAGAGCTTTGTGAAGTCAGCAGTGGGGGAGGTGGAGGAGCTGTAGGCCCCAGGTGCCCACCCCTCCTGGCTTCCTGGCCCCACCTGCCTCTGGCTGCAGCTTGTGCCTCTTGTCTCCTGCAGCCACCTGAGGAAGCTCGCTGGCGAGGGCGGCTCCCATCTGCCCTTAGGTGGAGAACCCCCGGGTGACGTGTGCAAACCAGCGCCTGCTAAGGCCCACCAGCTGCATGGGAAATGCATGCCAGATCTGTCTCCCACCAGCTTGTCCCCAGCAGCTCCCCCAGCTCCTCTGGCCTCCACTCAGTCACCAGGTCCGATGACCTTCTCAGAGCCTTTTGGACCACACTCAACCCTGAGCGCCTCCGGGCCTCCAGAGCCCTTGCTTCCCCTAAAACACCCTGCATCCC